CACGTGACGTGTGTGTACATGTGCGTGACGCACGTACACGTGCGTGTGTGCGTGTGCACGTACACGTGCATGCGCATGTACATGTGCGTGCGCACGTACAAGTGCGTGCGTGCACAAGTGCACATGCGTACGTGCGCACTTACGTGCGTGTGTGCACATGTACATGTGCGTGCGTGCGCATGTACATGTGCGTGCGTGTGCAAGTACACGTGCGTGCGTGCGCACGTACATGTGCGTGCGTGTGCACGTACACGTGAGTGCGTGCGTGCGTGTGCAAGTACACGTGCCTGCATGCGCACGTACATGTGTGTGTGCACATGTACATGTGCGTGCGTGCNCGGCATTGAATAGATGGTCTTTGACCACTTGTTTACCAAACTGAGCGGATTGATCTAGTCGACCATTACTAGCATAATATTTAAATATTTAATAGCCATTGTCGGCCCGCGTTGCGAAGACTGGCAGTTTTGTTCTTTTACTAAATATAAAGCACTTTGTATCGAAAAGACGAGTCTCTCGTGTTGGCCGGTCCCAGAATTACAGCGTAGAAAATAAATGTGTCGGTCATGTTATTAAATTTTCTACGACATTGTCGCGTGACCGCCGCTTATTTACAACAGGCTGTTAGTCACTTCAGTTCAACCAGGATTTGCCTACATTTTGTGAAATGTGAATGAATAAGACTAGGCGTTTTGATATTAAACATTCAAATGCAAATTAGGTTAGGTATGGGCAATTATAATAGCAAATTAATGCTTAGACACAAACAGTCTGTTGTCACACCGTCCTAGTGCGTTTTTACAAAGAGTTCATTTTGGACAACAATACTTAATTGCAAAACATTGGTATTCCTCTCACACCCCTGCCAATAAAAGTCTCTATTAGAGCTAAAGTTTTACAAACATGCTCGAACGCAGCATAACCTTATTTATTTCGAGAACGGCCGACTCGCACAAAGCTGGTCAACGCGCCATCCTACCTCACAAATTGTGATTCCTTTTGGTTATAAAATATTCGAATATACAGATGCAACCGTGGTGCTATAACCAGCCTAAAAACCATACCAAAGTAAAACCTCCATGCAACCAATTAACCTTTGACAAAAGTGTGTCGGCAGGAAACAACCATGCAACGTGGTATACGATCAACTACGTGAATAAGCGTATCCCTCAATCTTACAAGTTACACATTGGGAGCTCCGCTTTTAGGCAGTGCCTAAATCGAATATATAAAAACGTAAATGCGATCATTTAGCGTGAACGCCATCACTATCGCCCCACATCCTAGACTTCACATCTGAAACATTTTATTTCACACATAACATACACATAAAATCAAGAGTACTATATGGAGTTCTCCCATATAATACCTTTGTTCTATAATGTACGTTCGAAGTGCTTCACAATTAAAACTGACTTCTCACTCACTCATTTGTGTCCTTTTTTGTGGTGAGCTACAGTGTCATTGACACTTTCATTACATAAAAATTCAAAATTTGTGTGGTAACATAAATAGGTGCTGGAAATTTCATGGAATTTTTTGGCTTGAGCATAGAGATATATCTCCTCTATAAATAAAACGTGTTATTGATTCGATTCATTCTTCAATAAACGTTATCATCTTCATTAGAGCAATACCCGTGCAAAAGGTGGAGAGTAACCTAGGTATGAATCCTAGGTAAACTAAGGCTAGTGATCTAATAATTAATTGTGATGCAGAGGTTGCTATTAATTGTCAGTTACGATGATGGATAAGGACGTGAACATATGTAGGGGAGTTTGTTGCCACTAGCAGTTATGGTCGACGACGTCGAGTATAATAGATCAGTTTATTCCATATAAGTTACGACATACATAAGCACAATCTGCAGAGTTGACCAAGACCAAGACTGCTAGTCGCCCACGAAAAGCAGAACCAGAACTCCGAATCTGGTGTCTCCTCCGTCACCTTCCTTCACAGGGAAGTCGGTCTTCTCTCTCCCTTTCCAACCTATGCCTAGGCTACCCCTCACTCTCGCCCAATGCGAGGTGCTCGATCTGCCTTAATTAATTACTGACCCTTCGAAATTTGGCGTCTTGATGGTGCAACACCTCCAGACGCGCAAATACATTTTGAAATGTGGGGGGGGGGACACAGTAGCGAGCACGCGAAGGGGGGGGGGAGGTCTGGGGCCCTCCCCAAGCAAAATTTTGAAATTAGACCCCCTCAGATGCGTTTTCTGCGCGAGTGGGGGGAGTCCGGACACACGCGGTCACGCACACACGCGCTCACGCACACACACACACGGACCACCGTTATTATTGTTGGTCCAGTCATATCATATATGCGTTTACATATATCATCAATTTGCAACAAAAATTACATTATTAAAACCGTTGCTCAGTTACTCAGTGTCCTCTTTGCGTGAATATAACTTGTGTTTCCAGCTTAATCCTTGAATCCGTGTCTAATGTGAGTGATATCTCCTAAACTTTCATAAACATACTTTCTCTTGATGATTTCTGCATAAGAATTATTTAATATAAGAAAAAAAACGTGTTAAAAACGAAACGGTACTAAATTTATCAAGACACATTTTTCTCAAGTTGTGCATGATCATTATTATGCTCTCAAATGCACTTGAATAAAATGAAAACTGGCAACAGCAAAAAAGGGAAAGAAGCCAATCGTTGACGCACTATCACACACAATAAAAAGGTTCTCACCAGGCGCGCCGGAAGCAGTTTTCGATTGGGGGGGGGCAAAGACCTAAGGGGGCTCACGATTTTTTTTATCGTGTGTGCGTGAGCGCGTGTGCGAGACGTGGGTGCGTGAGCACGTGTGTGTGACGTGTGTGCGTGAGCGCGTGTGTGCGACGTGGTTGCGTGAGCGCGTGTGTGCGGCGTGTGTGCGTGAGCGCGTGTGTGCGACGTGTGTGCGTGAGCGCGTGTGTGCGACGTGTGTGCGTGAGCGCGTGTGTGCGACGTGGGTGCGTGAGCGCGTGTGTGCTTGAGCGCGTGTGCGCGTGTGTGCGACGTGGGTGCGTGAGCGCGTGTGTGCGGCGTGAGCGCGGGTGTGCAACGTGTGTGCGTGGGCGCGTGTGTACGACGTGTGTGCGTGAACGCGTGTGTGCGTGAGCGCGTGTGTGTGACGTGTGTGCGTGAGCGCGTGTGTGTGACGTGTGTGCGTGAGCGCGTGTGTGTGACGTGTGTGCGTGAGCGCGCGTGTGTGACGTGTGTGCGTGAGCGCGTGTGTGCGACGTGGGTGCGTGAGCGCGTGTGTGCGTAAGCGCGTGTGTGCGTGAGCGCGTGTGTGCGACGTGTGTGCGTGTGCGACGTGTGTGCGTGAGCGCGTATGTGTTCGTGAGCACGTGTGTGTGCCGTGTGTGCGTGAGCGCGTGTGTGCGACGTGGGTGCGTAAGCGCGTGTGTGCGACGTGTGTGCCTGAGCGCGTGTGTTCGACGTGGGTGCGTTAGCGCGTGTGTGTGACGTGTGTGCGTGAGCGCGTGTGTGCGACGTGTGTGCGTTAGCGCGTGTGTGCGACGTGTGTGCGTGAGCGCGTGTGTGTGACGTGTGTGCGTGAGCGCGTGTGTGCGACGTGTGTGTGTGAGCGCGTATGTGCGACGTGTGTGCGTGAGCGCGTGTGTGCGTGAACGCGTGTGTGCGACGTGTGTGCATGCGTGAGTGCGTGAGCGCGTGTGTGTGACGTGTGAGCTTGAGCGCGTGTGTGCGACGTGGGTGCGTGAGCGCGTGTGTGCGACGTGTGCGTGAGCGCGTGTGTGTGACGTGGGTGCGTGAGCTCCTGTGTGTGCGTGAGCGCGTGTGCGCGTGTGTGCGACGTGGGTGCGTGAGCGCGTGTGCGGCGTGTGTGCGTGAGCGCGTGTGTGCGACGTGTATGCGTGAGCGCGTGTGTGCGTGAACGCGTGTGTGCGTGAGCGCGTGTGTGCGACGTGGGTGCGTGAGCGCGTGTGTGTGACGTGTGTGCCTGAGCGCGTGTGTGCGACGTGGGTGCGTGAGCGCGTGTGTGTGACGTGTGTGCTTGAGCGCGTGTGTGCGTGAGCGTGTGCGACGTGTGTGCGTGAGCGTGTGCGTGCGTGAGCGCGTGTGTGCGTGAACGCGTGTGTGCGTGAGCGCGTGTGTGACGTGTGTGTGTGAGCGCGTATGTGCGGCTTGTGTGCGTTAGCGCGTGTGTATGACGTGTGTGCGTGAGCGCGTATGTCCGGCGTGTGTGCATGAACGCGTGTGTGCGGCGTGGGTGCGTGAGCGCGTGTGTGCGACGTGAGCGTCAATCACGCGAAGCGCGCAGCAAAAACTTAAAATGGATGTATAAATTTGTTTTTGAACGTTAGAATTAACAAGTCTTAGCTCATACATTTTATTTTTTCTTTCCCACTCTTCTTTGGGGGGGCTTTTTGGTTTTGCCCCCCCCCCCCCACTTTTTTGAATTAAAGGGGCCGGCTGCCCCTCTGCCCCCCCACTTCCCGGCGCCGCCTGCTCTCACTTCACAAACACATACACACACGCGCGCGCAAACACCCGCGCGCACACACACACACACACACACACGCATACTTACACACAAAATCATGGTGATCCAAAATCGTTGGGGGGACATTTGATATGATGTCCCCCCTCTAAAAATTCGTGGGGGGGACATGTCCCCCTGTCCCCCCCTGGATTTGCGCCCCTGAACACCCCTGAACCTGGCCTGTTGCCATCTTTCCTGATTTATTACTCTTTCTATGATTCCTTATGATGATTTACTGTTGCCTATTACTGTACTCTATTAGTGCCTGCAATTCGAGAATTATTATGCCAACAATGTCATCTCCTACTGGACTTGGCATTGTTAATAAAAGCACAATGTTCTTGTTTTTTACCTTGTTTCTGCTCCTGTTTCCCTAACGATCTACATCTCTAGACTATGTTGCGCAATAGAACCCTTGTGGCTTTGCAACATTACACATATCTATACAACGATGAACACACATTAGTTATATCTGTTAGTATAAAATAATAATCATGATTCTGACCAAATTAGGAACTTGTTTTGCAGAGGGTGAATCTTTGAGGGGTGATGTTGCCGACTTGCTCCCAGCAGCAGGTAGAGCGACCGTCACAGTGTTTCAGCCACCTCTGCTGATGCATAGAAGCAGCGACCCACTCGTGGCATCCGACTTTGACAAACCTGCTAATATAAAACCCCTGGAGAGCGTGAACAAGGTAGGGAGGGTGACAGTTTGACCTGGTATTTCATTCTGATGTCAGTACATGTCTTGAACGAAAAAGACTTTTTTATGGAGAAAACAATCTCAAGGATGAGAAACGAGGTGATGGAAAAGTTGCTGCCATTCTGATAATGCCAGAAGGTGAAATTATGACGTGATTACGTTCTGTTTAACTCTCATGATTTTCTTGCTGTAAATTGTCTTTATGTTAATAATTAGCAATAATTGCAATGTATTGTATTCAGCTTATATTAACTGCAATTAAAACTGCTAATTTTATCAAGCGTTTTACAAGCGACATTTACATCTCATGCTATACCCACCGTCGTATTCTCATTGTTGCTAATGTTTGGTGCATGGTCTTGGTGTTAATAGATGCGCGCCAAGATACAGACAGTTCGGCGACTCCCGTCCCGACGTGGAGTCAAGCCCAACGTAAAGAACTCCAGCAGCATGCCTGAAGACTTGTCGGGGAGATCTCCCACTCAGCAGCAGAAGCAGCAGACGGGGCGCCCTTCCTCCATAGCAATGCCTATAGATAGTTCTGGCCTGTTCAGCGTACCTAGCAGAGTGAAACCTACTGTCGCTACGGAAAGCAAGTCCAAGAGGGATGAATCGAGAACGACACTGTTTACTGATGGTGAAAAGAAGCCACTGAGTGAGAGTGTGGACCCGTCTGCAGCAGCAGCAGCGCCTTCTAGTGGCATAAACAGTGGTGCATCCATTATCCCTGCCAAAGACACAATCACTTCCTTAAAGACTGTCACCGAGATATTGAACCGTGATGACGTCAACCGTTCCTCAACGACGACATCTGTGCATAAGCCTGCGTCTGATAAAGCACCATCTAGTTCCAATGTGGTTACTAGTGCTATGCTAAGTCCAGCTAATGCTGCAAGTGCTGCTGTCACTTATCCCCCAAAACACATTCCCTGTAGTGTTCAGCCGGCAGAAGTGTCAGCCAGAAGCAAACCTGTCACTGACGACTTATTCACTGCAACATATGACGACGTTTTTGCTAGAGTTAATAAGTCTAAAAAGTCTATGCCAGCGAATATGGACAAAAGTGATCTGCCCAGGCCTGTGCCTTCTAAAAATATGAATCAAACTAGCGCAACCAAACTAAAGAAGTCGTCAACGAGTGGTACATCTCCTGTGAGAGACATCTTTGGCGATGATGACAATGAAATTTTCTCTTCATCTTCAAGCGCATTGTCAACGAAGCCAAGATATATTCAGCCAACTGTTTTGGTAGAGAAAGGCATCCGAGATAGGCAGAGAGATGTACAGAAGAAAATGGTTGCGAATCTGCCATTTGCTGAGGTAAGCTTATTGTCAAGTCATTTGGTTGTTATCTTGTAAACGCATGTGCTGCTAACTGGAAAAGCATTCTTGTGTAAATGTTATTAGCTATATAAATTGTGCTATATAACAAAGTAAACTTTTTGTTTGCAGTAGAAACGCTATCATTGCAATTGGGAGTTTTTCTATTCCAGTAAGGTGCCTCCCTTTGGGTCAATCCTTACTACACCATAAATTCGTTAATTAATTTATCATCACTTATCTTATTACCTGTAAAAGTTTAATTTTTATTAAATGTGTTAGCTCCTTGTAAGTAACCAGCTCTCTGAAAAATATGAACTCTACGAACTCTGGACAAAACTTAGGGACAGTTACAAACAATTATAATACAACTACACAAAGCCTGCAGCAAAATTTAACAGCTAACTTCGGGGACCTCTACAGCAATTACGTAGCAGTAGTAGCCTATTAATCATTTTGAATTCAGGCCGTAAAATTCTGCAATACATTGGTGGCAGTTCTCCCGAGAGCCTGCACAAATTTACCTTCCATTTCCGTTCAATAAAAAACGTACATTTATACATAGTTTCATCTCAAGAAGCTGCCTCCCAGCAAAGCTCCCACATCAGTGAAAATGTAGTGTTATCATTTGCCATATACATAAGTTTATCTGCTGCGATATATATGACAGGTATATGCCATTATATAGGATAAAAAGTATGTGCACCTGTGAAATAATATACTGCGAATCATAAAAGGAGAGAGAAAACAAGATATGACATGACAAACTCAGCAAATGCCAGAGATAGATGGAGAGAGCAAAATATCTTGAACTATATATATATATATTATATATATTTATATATAATATTTGTGTATGTGTGTGTGTACTTAAATTTCAGGATGATTTGTTTGTCTTGCCTGTGGAACCATCATCTATTTCATCACAGCATCCTTGTCTGCCACCTGGGGATAACGTCTTTGAAGGTGACACAGACATATTTGCTGACATGCCGGCAAGCAACGTAAAGAGAAGGAAAGAGGAAAGGAAACCAGCTAAATCTGTTAAAGCAACTGACACTTCTCTGTTCACAGATAATGTTGGTATGTTTTGTTTTTAATTCATTTTTTATATCGGTAGTAAAAAGGAACTGTATAGTGAAATAGTGTGACAATAGCAATGTGTGTAATTTTTTTATTTGCAAAATTTATGGAAATGAGCTTGCATTGCATTTTGCAAAACAATGCCGAATGGTAACAGAAATCTAAAGACCTATAGGTGTTGATACATATGTGACTGCATTGAGTAAGTTATCTACATCGTACAAACACGTCTGTTGCCATATCGAAATTTTCTTGTTGCAGATAACATATTTGGAGGTGCCAGTACCAGCAAAAAGCCAGCGGCAAAAGCGACAGTGAAATCTGGAACAAAAAGTCTCCAGAAGGTGGCACCGAAGAATGCTGTTGCAGCCAAGTCCATCTTTGATGATGATGTCCCTGACATCTTTGATGATCCATTAAATGCTAAGTAAGTGATGCATTAAGTAACTGCTGCTCACCTCCTCTACAACATACTAGAAATCATGTCATAACAAATGTGCTTCCATGAACTGTAGGCAAAAGATTTCAGCAGGCCTCTTGCATAGGAAATGCTAGTGTTCTTGTCAGGGGAAAAAATAACTTTTTTTTCATGGGAGCTCTTTTTCAAGTTTGTGGGAAAAATTTGCTCTTGTGGGAAATTTTACGGGGGCTATTTTGAGCCTCACGGGAGCGATTCGCTCATTGCTCTCATGTATTTTTTTGCCCTGGTTCTTGTTACGTTTTAAGATACCAGTGATGCGCCAATTAACCCTTTCAGACTACAATTCCGTATGGGAAAAAAGGCCTGCTGAGTCCAATTAATTAAGGATGCAAACAAAAAGATTGGTAGCAAGTCATTATGAGCTAATTAGTAAACTTTGTAGTAGTTTTAGACTATCAAAACCATACATATTTGGAAAGCTGAGGTATTTTTACATTCAAATAATTAATTAAAAAAAGAATTTTCGAGATCAACTAACCGAACACCGCTACCGTGAAAGCTGAAGCTTTTTTTGAAAAAATTGAAAAATTATTTTTCATTTAAAAATTTAAAAAAAAAATTTAAAACAGGTGTTATGTGATTATTTTTCATTTTTTTATTTAAGTTCAAGTCTCCATGGCTTACAAGGTTACTAGACCAGGCGAAATTATTTGGGTCGGCAATTTGACCATGATCACTGTCTGAATCAGCCGAACTTTCGGCATCACTACTACTAATAGAATCAAAAGCTTCGTCATCGTTGCTCTCATCACTTACAATTTCGCCAATACCGTCCATATCAGTCTCGTTATCACTATTTCTACGACAAGGATGTCGAGCAAGTGGAATGTTGTCTTCATCAATTTCCAAACAATATCGAGAAAGTGGCAAATCGTCCGAATTATCACTCTCAAAATCCGAATTCTCGCTGCTTTCTGACTCCTCCGCACAATACGCCGCCATTATTGTTATTCTGTCGATAAAACTCGCATAAACATTGTAAAAAACTGTAAAAGTTAAAACTTTCGGAAAATACAAATAACGCTATCACAAACAAAATGGTTACCGGAACTGGTTTAGTCTGGTTCCAGCTACATCGTATTACGTTCACGAAATTTAGATGCGCATTTGTTCGCGGGAAATTCAAATCGAAAATCAACGACGGGATATCCCGTTTTGTAGTCTGAAGGGAAAAAAAAATACGACGGGATTTCCCGTTGTGTAGTCGGAAAGGGTTAATCTGGTGGCTGCTAGATTTTAATTTATTTGGTAATTGCTAGCATATTGTCCTGTGGCAGCTACTCTATAATTTCCGACAATTAAGATGTGTTATTACAATGTTTGCAAGAGTTGATGGCACATTTTGCTCATAATACTGGAGTATCATCACCTGTTGGTTGATGTTTTGTTAGGATATTCGTGATTGTCACCCATCGATTGAAAATCCTTTGAGAGTGCTCGCTGTGACTGATGAATACAATTTAAATTCGAAATTTTCAAAAAATAATGTCACTACAGCAAATTCTACGCAGGTAGGTTTATAATTAATGATGTGTAATAAAGGAATGCACTGTGACAAAGTGAGCAGCAGCATTGTGTTTCTAACAATACCTGATAATTAAGAATACTTTCAAGCCTTTGGACGGGTACCGACTCTAATGAAGACTAAATGTTTATTGACCAATGAATGGAATCAATCACACGTTTTATTTGTAGATGAGATATATCTGCACAAGCCGAAAAATGTCATGAAATTTCTAGCACCTAAAAACCACTAAATCAGTAAAATGTTTTGTGCATCTTGTGAGATTACCAGTCGCTGATTAATGCGCAATTTCCGAACGCTGCGTTCTGCATGACGTCACTAAGCTACGTTTCAACAAACCCCAGCCTATGTAATGAGGTATAAGTGCTGTTTTAGACTGGACGGCAACTATCGCTGACAGGTGACGGCTGTAGGAGGGTGGAGGCTGATATATTCAGACATAATAAATAGAGGAAAAATGCTATTTAGATGGCTTTGACGTCATCAGTACATGTGTGTTTAAAGAGCCACAACTCTCTGCATATTATGTACACGGGCAACCAAAACGCTCTGAAAACTCACATACATTGTAATACGGAGAAATGAGCATGTACAGAGGTGGCACCTGGTGTTAGCCATCTAATAAGACTGAAAATGAAAGATGAATGAAATTTCGCATGAAATCTTGGGTGTATCCTTGAGGTTGCCACAGAAGTAAATACCTGTAGTTATTTTTCGCATATTAACTCTATTTGTTATTAGAATAAGAGAGTTGTTTTGTTGATATTTAGCACAATAGTAAAGTTACTCCTGTATGACGCATCTAGAATGATTAAATGTCAACGTGTGGTAAAGTTAATATGAGCAGTTATTTACAAATAAATTATAATTATATACATTTACATTTTGATATCGATTTTGATTTTCACTGTGTAGGATGGATATATAATAGTTATACTGCGCAACATGGCGAGTCTCTACTGCTAATATTACGGTCCTTGACGCAGTGGCATGTCTGGTTTACATGCTTGCATTTATAGACGAAGATGTTTTCAGGATTGCAAAAGAAAACAATTTTTTTTTCTCTGAGACAGTGAGACCTGATAACGTTTTGGTAGGTAATTTACATGTGGCCAGATCGTGGTGATATGAAACCATACGGCATTTCATGAGCTGTAGCCGTTTCTAGCTGGATTTTTATTTAGAGATTTATCTGAAAAAACTGCATGAATTCCTTTACATTGAACAAGGTAGGTATAGTCTTCACAAATGTAGGTACAGATAGGTACTGATAGGTACAAACTAGGTACAGATAGGTATAGTCTTCACAAATTACACTGCATCATGACCAGTCAGTGTAAATATATGTAATGACCTATGTCCTGCAAACATCTGTTCTCTCAAACATATATGACGTTAATAATTACGTTATTTAACATTAATCTATACTCCAAATAACATTCTTGTTCAGATATCGCAAAAGGTAGAGGACACCAACCATCGAGTGTTCTTAATTTAAACATTGAGACCAAGCAGAGGCCACTATAATATCAGCATGTTTGGCAGTCACACACCAGGACACGTTTAATTAGTAGTGGAATGTTATCAAATCGCAATTATAAGGAAACACTTCACCAATGCTATCATAGTATGTGAACACAATGTCTATGGAGTTGGTTATATAAAGATATAACAGCACAGCACAGGCACAGCAATAACACATATACTACTAAGATACTTTGTTATGAAGTTTAATAGGATTACTAATATCATTTACACCTGTCATGGAAATTTTAATTGCCAACATAGTTATATCCATATTGCCCTAGTCAATCAAATGAGATCCACATAGTCATACAGTCTACTAACCAACAGATTTAGGTCATTATCCGTTACCATATTACACTTAGGATTGATATACACATTCCTTCAAATTATTGCCCATATTAAAATTAGAATTTATACGTATACATACACTGGTTTATCAGGAATATACCTAGTCAAGTAATGGAATGTCTCCTCCCACACGACTTGGGCTACAAAGTGCATTCACACAAAAATTATAAATAGTAGGCCTACCAATACCTGCAGTGATACTTTTACGTGCAAAACTACTTTACTTTAAATTACAAATTAGCTGCATTTTAATAAAAAAAATTGTAGCCAAAACACACATTCGAATACACAAAGCTTTGTCCATATAAAACACGTGTATGAGATCAGGAGCACATAACATGTGCTTCTATCTTGTGGAAATCATCCCAATGTATATAATATAGAAATAAGCAACACTACGATCATGTCACATACTATACTACTAGATATATTCCTTGATCAAGCCTTTATACCCTGTACCTAACAAACTAACAATAACGTATGCACAGGTACCGATCTGCTGCATTACACAAATGTCGCTATCATCCATATTGAAGGATAATATACCTACTACTGTTAACATTGACCTAAATAACGTAGACATTATTAATTATATCGTGCCGTACGGCCTACTAAATGAGAGGTTTAGTTGATAGCCCTGATTTGTGTCAGTAAAGAGCTAACTACAAGTTAATAATAAAACCCTACAAACTTTCCCCTGGCAATGATGTCATAAACAGTGGTACAAGTAGTAGATGTTTGTATCTCTGCATCACGTAGAAATATTCTCTGGTTGATTAGAGAACTACACAGGTGTACATTCTATGGGCACAGAATTAATGCATAGAATGTGTTTATTTCTCGATAGGTAAAAATCGGTGCTTACTTACTGGTAATGGGACAGGAGCAATTGGTGTGAGGGTGCTGATTAGCCTAGTTTTGGGGCATGAGTGTGGGAAGCGTCGAATGGGGTTGAACAGGGTTAGCGAAGTCCCCAGCCGCTTCCTAGCAGCTCCTTGACAGTAGTTGTGAAATCTACTGCGGTCGCAACGTTACTGAAAAGGGAGGTGGCAAAATACCAGATCTCTCAAAAGCCTAAAAACAAATTCGAAACTTGAGATCGGTTATCCCATGTAGGAGAGGGATACGCTGGCCTTTGTGCACGTGACGAGAAAGACATGATGTGGAACCTCTGCTCTACTAGAAATAATTTGACTGCGGTCTCGAGTAAATTTTAAGGCATCAGGTAAGTGGATAAGACAGACAGACACAATTACCACCATACAATGTTACTATGATACTGTAGTGATTAGACATGCAGTACAAGACAACGATGTCAACAAGCACCGTAACCGGATTCATCTTGGTGTGTAAGGGTGGTTAATACATACGTACCTGTTAACAGGACGCAACAAGTTCTATCGCATGCCAGAGGGTAAAACAGCTTCTTACCTCAGACAAGACCTCGACTATATGCGCTTGGATTGAAGGTCAATGATGAAGGAACAAAACAAGTCCGAGAGAGAGAACGGATACAAAACAACTGCTCGCAAACAATGTGGAAGAAAACATAACACGCTCAGAAGCAGATACGAAAACTAACAGAGAGCGATCAGAGAGACTAGAACAGGTAGCTGGAGACAGACAGCACAAGGACCAACCACAAGATGACAAATGAGCCATAGGAAACGTGCCAAACATTCCTTTGGTTCTTTTAAATGATATGGAATAGTACTAGGTACCATACAGTAGATGGCACCTCTTAAATCCTGTGACACGGCTTGATGAGGAATGTACCAATAATGTTTAGTAGATGACATTATGCAGAACCAGAGAAGCACGTCTGCAGTAGGCATCTCGAGATGCCTTAGTCATGAGTGCGCA